GTTTGACTTAATTTGACAATTTAAGGGGTATTAAACCCTAACATGCAAGCCTAAACTCTCTACAAATATATATGAAATATTAAATGATTTAGTAGGATCGATTAATTGACTAAATTTATCGATTTTAAGGGGTACTAATTAAACCCTAATATGGGAGTTTAAACCCTCATAAATGTACATAAGATATTGAATAATTTAAAACGATAGATTTGACTAAATTTGTCAATTTTAAGTGGTACTAAACCATAATATGGGAGTCTCAATCTTCACAAATGTACATAAAATATTAAATAATTTAAATCGATGGAATCGATTAAGTTGGTTGATTTTAAGGGGTACTAAAATCTAATATGAGACTTAAACGCTCATAAATGTACATAAAATGTTGAGTGATTTAAAACAATCGATTTAACTAAAACTGTCGACTTATTTTATTTTCTACCATTCGGTTCAATATGTAGAAATATAGATGTAGTTTTGAACCAGTTTCAGATATTTTAGCCTTGCATGGTATATGAATAACAAAAAAACAATATTTTAAAATCGTAAGTTAATCATTTATATTCATCAACAAAAAATCAATTACTTATATTCAATTAACGAACAAAGTAGTTATTCCAGTCAATGCACCTCATCTCGTAGCCGCTTTCCCTCCCAGTTCTTACCCGTCCCGTCCCAACCCTTATCCATGTCTCGTCCCAACCCTTACCCATCACGCCTTAGTCTTATCTGATCGTTGTGCTCTGACTTCTTGTATAATATGGTGAAATAGATTTTGTATAAACAATTGTGAACTAAAAACTAATAAAAATACAAAGATATTAAAATTTGTAAAATTTCGTTCAGGTTGATAAGCACCATTAAACAAAAACAATGTTTATAGATTTATAAAAAAAATATTATGATGGAACACTCATTTTATTTACTAATAACTTATATTTTTTTTTGAATTTATAGATATACCATTTATATTTTGGGACAAGTGTAAAAATGCCACTTTTGGTGTGTATATTTGCAAGAATGCCATTTAGAGGTGTCCATTTGCAAAAATGCTACTAATTATAGAGGTTTAAAGCCTAAATCTTAAAATTGGTATTTTTGAAAAGTGGCACTTTTTGAAATTTTTCTTATATTTTTAACAAATTAAAAGCTTAGAAAATGACTTGTTAACCTTATTATGACCATCCCTCATAGGTTGTCTACGGATTCCATTATCAAGAAGTGTATCCACGGCTTCTTGTACCAATTTTTCCTAACACATTACTAATTCCCCTGGTGTAGATTTACTTGTTGTTAATAGATCGGTTCCGATAAATAACTCTTATTCTTAATGGTTTGTCTAGAGAAGATAGGGAAGAAACAATATGTACGTCAAATCTCAGCGTTTTCTTGAAAGAGCCACCGGACCAGAACAATTTAGAAATTGATGCAAGTAATGTGATGACAAAGTGTAGATCCAAAACGTGAAGAAAAATTATGGAATCGTGCGAGTGTGTATGGAACTTATGGAATTTCTATAACATATACTCGCTGTCATGGGTTGCTGCACCACTCATGTCTGGACTCTTCCCGAAAATTTATAGTTAATAGGATTAAGGAGAGCCAATAATCATCGAGATCAGCAAACCAAAAATTGATTAGAGATCATGACTTTTCTCCACCACTGAATCTCGTACTCAAACTCTTCATTTTCTTCACTATACTATGCTTCTTCATCCTATTTGCAGTTCATATGTTTTTGTTACGTATTCTAAGAAATTCACACATGCTATATCAGTATGGAACTGATGTTTCTCCAAGATACTCGGAAACCCTGAAACAGATTCTTGATCATGAAATACACATAGAGAGCGAATGTCAAATATTCGTCTCCATGTAGAAATTTAAAAAGGAAGAGAACATAATTAAAAATAACTAAGTAATTAAACCCAACCATTATTGTAACTAAATAATTAAACAACTAACCTGAGTTCCAAAAACTCTTAACTCTTTGAGAAATACATGGATTGCTTTCTTCACAAGTTCCTCGTCTTTGGTTACATTATAAATTTTATAGAGCACTAAGCTCAATAGGATGTTGGCTTTTAACAATTAAAACATATTAAACAACATTTCTTTTCTAATATATAGTCCAATG